TGACAGGCAGGCAGGCCAGGCCGACCAAATTAGTTGACAGGCACAGGCAGGCTTGAAATGCAAAGGCCTGTCACGGACCGGCCAGGCCTACAAAAACACGGCCTGGTTGATGCTCTGGTAGCTATAGTATTAATTAAGTAGTTATACAAAATCATTAAGCAGTTATGCTTAAGAAAATGCAACATACTAATGAGCCGTTCTCGAATGTTAAATTCTATTACAAATAGTGAAATTACATTTTACTGATATAAATTACAGTTTTCTATTTGATGAAACAAATCTTGGCAACAGATTGTAGTTTAAAGAGCATAGCGTCATTTACTCTGATGAAGTTTAGAAAAGCAGTTAGTACAATTTCTGTAAGATTAAAATATTGGGGTACTTGTCTATGTCATGGTTTACTTTGTAGTCTAATACTTCTACAAGAAAATACTCTATTTATATTTTAATCCGGTACTTCTTATATATGATATTCGATAGCCTCTTGAAACTGCCTACCGCGATCTGTGATAGGTGAGGGCCCATCTACCATGGTCTGACGAGGTGGTGATGATGAGTGTAAATTTCTACTCTTTTCACTTCAACACTTCTTTTAGGTCGTGTTTCACAAAATAATCGCCGCCATATATACCAAGATTATCAAAGAGAGAGTGTGTGTGTGAAGGATCAGCGAATATTGATAGGGTTCATGGATAGTCCAATATACATGAAAAAGTTAGACGTTGAAATCGGATCTTTTCTTTCAGCATTCCGTGTGAGGGTGTGGGTAAGAATGTGCACACAGAATAGTCAGCTGTACACTCACACTCACACTCACACCTACGCCAAAACCAAGTCCCTAAAGCAGAAAATAGTGTTGTCGGTGAAACCAAGTTGCATTTCAATAGATTTTCAGGCCAGCAACTGTTTTTTTAAGGCTTTCTGTGATTATATCAGGTTTTCCTTATTATTTCAGTACCTTTGAATACAATGTGATACTTTTAATCAGGGTGGAGTCAATATCCCTAACTACCACCGTAAAAAATTCACTTTGATTGTTCAACTGCGTTCGTCGTCAATTTACTTTCGAATAAAAGTATATTTATATGTGCATGATCCTTGAAGTCTCCTCTTTCAAATGGCATGCTTTGAACTTCTCTCACTCATACAGTTCTCGAGAAATCAGCAGCCCACGATGAAGACCCCTCATTGTTGTTATTAGAGTTACTTTTCGTAATTATGACACTAAGTTACTGTTTTGTTCCTAATTGCGACAAATGCACCAAAATCCCTCTACTATTGAAAAAAAGATAAATATATCCTTGCAAGGGGGAAAAGCGGATCCTGAATCCTTGGATCCTGGTGGATCCGGTTTTCCCCCCTTGAATGTATATATATCTACGAAGACTTTTGTTTTTTTGTTGGCATTATATTTTATGACAGATAATAAAATGAGTTAGTTACTTATTTCAAATAACGAACCTAGTCGTGTGCTATGTTACTATTTACCTCTTTATTTCTTAAATTAATTACAAGCTTTGTATTCGTGTTAACAAGTCGGATAATGTTTTCTTTTTTTAAATGATTTAGATAATTACAGCATCATCAATGTCGAATAGTTCCTCGTTAAATTATACTAAGAAAATAGAAGAAATCAACAGATTTATCAAAAGTTTCAATGCCAAAATTTTTTTTCTTGAGATATTTATTGTTTTATTTGGTTTACTTGGAAATATTCTTGTATTAATTGTTATTAATAGAAGATCTTTAAAAAACACATCATCTTCTGTATTTATAACCTATTTGGCAATATTTGATATTTCTGTTCTTCTTTCACATGGTATTAATTTAGCAAGATTTAGTGAAACTGCTGTCTTCGAATGTTCATTATATTTTTTCACAGATTTATCAACATTCTGCGCGAATTGGGTTCTTGTAATAATAACAATAGGTAACTAGTTTGATTTTAAACCATACATCAAGTTTTCGTTTCGATGTGTTTCTGCTCTTTTTTTAGAACGTTGCGTAGTTGTTTATTCGCCATTTTACGCGAAACGTCTCTGTACTGTAAGCTCAGCTCGTCGTGCTATTTATATTTTTTTCGGATTGTCCGTCATCGCTTTTTCGATAAATTTTTCAATATTTTATGACTTAAAGGCCGCTTTTAAAAATAACACATGTAGAATACGGAAAAACTTCGGATTGTCTCATCGGTTGTATCAATCACTATTATTTTATATTGTACCAGCTCTATTTCTTCTACCTAATATATTTACTATTTATGCCTTATGTCGACGAACGCACAAACTTTCAGAAGCATCTTTAAAGAATGATCGAAACTTAGATATGCGTATAAGTGACGTTAATTCAAATAAAAAACAAAGACAATTAACAATAATGTTGGTTACAATTAGTTTATCGTTCTATTTATTTACAATTCCAGGCATGATTATGTACTTGATTGAAATCTACTCATTGAAAAGTCGAGACATAAATAAAATCAAACTAAAATTTATTTTGGCCCAATTGTCTGTCATTGTGTTACAGTTAAATAATGCAGTAAGCTAGTTTAATAAAAACTTTATTCTCTATTCTATTCGTTGTTTTTCTTCATAGACAAATTTTTTATTTTATTGTTTTGCCGGTCACCGTTTTCGACAAGCAGCAGTACAAACATATTACGGTTATTCGGCCCTATCGAAAACTTTCTTTCATCATTATATTTTACGCAATAAAGAGTATGGCTATGCACGTGCTTATGGTCATCCTGTAAGTCATTCGGCACAGACAGCATTAACTAATCGAAGTTCGACTTCTCCATATTATCCTCGATCACCATATAAAACATCACCACTGTGATTGTTCTTTCTCACATTAATGGTCATAGATGGAATTTTTCTAAAACTAGAAATTCACAAATAGAAAAAAAACTCGTGTTTGTAAACTCTCAAATATAACATTCATGATATACCAAATCGGTTGAGACAAGTGGGCTTGTATATTATCTTATAGTTATTGTGGCAACTGTTCGATGTATTGGTTCCATTCGTCAGCTTGTTGTTAATACAAAAACAAAGAAATAAAATCCAAAAAAGTTCTTGTTCATACTTGTTAGATTGTCGTACATTTTGTTTAAAAAATAAAACTGATCTCTTTACAGATGTTGTATACTGTATGTTCAGTTATTTGAAAGAAAATTTTCCTGTTCTCATTCTGAACATTGCTTTTAGGAATTGTTTATCATTAAGATTTTCATTGACGCTTTGTATACGTCATTATGTTCTCTTATCTTACAGGGATATACAAACATAAATACAATAAGTAATGCTGCCAATTCACATAATTCTGCCCATCATGCATTCATTGTCATGGATGAGGTCAAAAACCTATAGAATTGACAATATTATGTGTTTGCTCTTACAGTCTAGAATATCATACCGCACTTCAAATAACTTCTCTAGAAACCTGCTTGATCATTGGAAAGGAAAATATTGAAAACATAATACGACTAATAAGTCGATATGGGAAAACAATAGTCCCCTGAATACATATAAAGTAGCAGTGCACACGTTGTAAGTATCACAGAAGCATATAAATAGAGTCAAGGGGGAAAAGCGGATCCTGGTGGGTCCTGATGGATCATAATAGAGGGTATTAGATTGCAGAATAGATTGACTGGAGTGTACGGAAATCTATTAGAAGCTACTTCAATCTACTAAATACGTCCGAGTCTACCACAATGTGCCAAAAACTGATTCACTTTACAGGAATCTTCAAACAATGTAAAAAACATGGATCCTGCTGGATTAGGGGTGTGCAGCTTACGGTCGTGAGTGATGATAAGGGTGAGCGTTTCTTCTCCAAATAGAATATACAACAAATCAGTAATAATGAACCCACTTTAGCTGTATTCATATAAAAATACATTATAGTATTTCATACAGTTTCTTATCTAATATATTCAATCGATGTATTTAGATACTTGTTACTCGATGAATTGACAATAAGCGCTAGAATAGGCACATTAAAGTTTGGAAAATTATAGTTTCCGAATATTTGTTTCTTAAACTCGCTCATCTTACTACCGCAAATTACCAAGGAACAAAGCTAGGATCTTATTATATATGTCTAGTAGAGGTAGCACGTTACTATTACCGGTAATAAGCAATAGCTGTTATTTCGAATTAATAATACTAACTAAAAGCCAGGAAAATTAATAAAGCAATAAAGAACTTGATCGTGAAATTGTTTCTATTTATCGATATATTTCTATTTTCTCATCACTAGGACTACAACAGCTCTCAGATCGTAGTTCAGATCAAATGAACGAAAAAGCTGCTGAAACGGTTCTATTCACTGATTTGCCCACAATCGCTAGATTACCTGCATTCAATCGCTAGTATTATTTGGGCCGTAATTAAGGGTAACCCATTCGATCCCTTAGGTCCTATCTAGATATGATCCCTGTGACTTTTGCATCCTACCTGGTGGTGGCCCCCGTAAATTTGGTGGATTTACACTGGAATGGTTCCCTTAGTCATTTGGGACCTATTGAAGGGTTGTCCTTATGAATTTCTAGGGACTGCTAAGGATAGTACTTCAAATTTGAAGATATCACTGCTGAAAAAAGTGACATGTTAAAATGATGATGCTTATATAGGACTGAAAAAGTTATAGAAACTGCCAATAGTTAAGAATAGGGTTATGCCCAGCCCGAGACTTTCCATCTCCGTCTCAGTCGTCGTGGCCGAGGTTTTGGTCTCGTTCTCTCTTGTTCGCGGTTAGTCTCGGTTCCAGTATTGATGAGTGTTGGTCTCGGTTCACCCCTAGTTACGACTGAATAAGTTATAAGAATCCCCTCCCACACTGCGCAAAAAAATACAAGGGATGCCACTATATATGTACTAAAATGTTGCACCGATCAGCCCTGGCCAGTCAGACAAGTAACGAAAAAATAGACGTTTTTATGCGTAAAAACGTCGATTTTTTTCGTTACTTGTCTGACTGGGTAGGAAGTTCTCACATAGTTCTAGTTACCATACTGGGGTAGGTCCAAAAAGGTACAGGACCACCCATTGGTAGTAAGTAGATCCCAAATCGCTAAAGGGACCAACCATGGGTAGGACCTAAAACTTCTGACTACTCCTTTTGACTGAGTCCTTAGAATTTCTAAGTACCACCCATGGCCAGGCTCAAAACACTGATAAGAGTATTATCCTTATTTGATTCTTAAAAGGTTCTGAGTATCACCTATAGGTAGGCTCCTAATAGCGATAGGGGCCAGTTCTGATCTGATCCTGGAAGCGTCTAATACGATCTCATGGTAGGTCGCAAGTAGCTATACGAAATCCTCCTGTATAGATACTAAAAAATTCTAAGTAATATCTTTGGGTCGGTATTTATTACGGTAATAATTATTACACGTTATTACTTATCAGTTGTTGCTTTTATTAGTTTCAATTTTTGAACTTNTTTTGAACTTTATTATTCGTAATAAATAATAAAAGTAATAATAATTAGGGATATACCGCTTACGCTCATGAGCGTAAGCCGTACACTCGGATGTTACATCCTACTTGATTTTTAAGTATCGAAAAATTCATTGGAACCTAGCAGAATTCATCGGAATTGACTAATTTGTCAATCTTCTCAGTTCACTCATGCTTCTTACTCGAAAATCCTACGACCAATTTGTCCCTTTTCCGATCAAACTTTTTGAATCCTAGGATCCAAAAGGATCCGCTCCCCCTCCCCCTTGTATCCTTGCATATGAAAAGTCCAAGAGATTCTGAAGACTTTTCATAACACATTCAAGACACGGAAAAAATCAATTTTTTCATGTCTGTGGCCTACCTCAAGTATTCGAAAAGAACTCTTTTCCTTATTCTATTTGTTTTCTCAATACAGCGACAGAACAAAGTATGCTGATCATGAATATGATGTCTTTTCTTAGTGTCACTAGAAAGATAGCAGAGATTTAAGGCATTTATTTACGACTGAAAAGTCAGTCTCGTGGAAACGGACCACGAACTTCGTCGAAAATTTTCGAAAAATAAATTCATTCTACGCAGAATTGTTTTCTCTACCTGAATACATAATAGTTTCTTATGCAAAAGCAATTTTTTTATTTTCTTACTGGGATACCGACCCCAATGGTCAGTCAGTGAAAAATAATGTCTTTTTTGCACCCACAGAAGCTGCATATAATATAGCCCATAACACTTATTTTTTGTACCTAATGTGTAAATGAGCTAGAGCTTTCGAACAAGACTAGTTTGGTTGGTTTTGTTGGCTCCTTCTTGAACTATCCCAGTGAAAAATATTCGCTGATTTCAATCAAATTATCGTCCAACAAAATCCAATCCATAATTGGATTGATAATTTTGATTATAATCGATCACCATTGAATCCAAACGTGATGTTATCGCTAGCCCAGTGGAAATTGGTTTGATTAAAGTCTGATTGTTCTGTAGCACAATTCGAATTATCAATCGATTGGCAATGTGGATATTACTGGAAAACAATCCGATTTCCATCAAACTAATTTCCACTGGGCTGACAATAATATTAAACTCGGGTTAAATGATGTCGATTAAAATCAAAATTATCAATCGAATTACGGATTGGATTTTGTTGCACAATAATTTGATTGAAATCAGTGAATATTTTTCACTGGGATTCCGTATATGTAAAGATTCAAATATCTGCGTCGTTGAAAGCTAACCTAGTCGTAAAATTTCATGCTGAAATGAATCTTAGTAGAAAAAACTTATTGAGTTACTCATTTGATATAAAAATCTTCATGATTCACTGTAATAGGTGGACTTTCTGCGAGTGCAAAAATTGACTATATTTCACTGAATGACCGTTGGGGTCGGTATCCCAGGGTGAAAAATTCAAAACTGTTTTTGTATAAGGAACTCTACAATATATTGTAGCAGAGGAAATAATTCTGCGTCGAATGGGCGTACTTAGTGAAGATCTTAGACGAAGCCCGTGGTCTGTTTCCAAAAAAGACTGATTTTTCCATCGTATATAAATGCCTTAAATCTCTGCTATCTTTCTAGTGACACTAAGAAAAGAGATCATATTCATGATCAGCATACTTTGTTCTACCGACGTATTGAGAAAACAAATAGAACAACCAAAAAGAGTTTCTTGGAATAGTTGAGGGGCATCACAGATACGAAAAATTCATTTTTTTTCCAGAATATGAAACTGTTATGAAAACTCTTCAGAATCTATCGAACTTTTCATATTCAAGGATATATTTATCTTTTTTTCAATAGTAGAGGGATTTTGGTGCATTTGTCGTAATTAGGAACAAAAGGATAGCTTATACTAAAAAAAATCGGCTCTTTACCGAACCCCAAAAGAGGTTCCATAGATTTCTAAGAGCATCCAAAAATGTCGAAAGTCGCAAAAAAGGGGATAAAAAGATCTACGAAACCTTTAAAGGTTCTTATCATGTGTGCCCAAGATAAGAACCTTTTCCTGTGAAGCCTTTTTTAAGTTCCGTAGTACAGAAAATGATTTCGTAAGGGAAATACTAAACCTTTAGAGTTTCATATTAAAACCAAATGGTTTCGTACTAAACCCTCATGATTTGGTCGAGTTTGGTACGAAACTCGAAAGATTTAGTATTTCTCCTACGAAACCATTTTTCTGCTCTACGGAACTTAAAAATAGGTTCTTATCCTGGGCACACGATAAGAAGCTTTAAAGGTTCCGTAGATCTTTTTTATCCCTTGTTTGAGAGTTTGGACGCCTTTGGATGCTTTTAGAAATCTCCGGAACCTTTTTTAGGGTTCGGTAAAGAACGGATTATTTTTAGAGTGGCACCCAAACCTCGCACACACCCTGTGTACACGAAAAAAGGTGAACAAAACATTTCCATATGCATCCCATTTAGGCTTTGGAGAATAAATTAAACAGGATAGTCTAACTTACTTACTTTTTGATTTAGGGTTAAACTTTATCGAACATGGCTTTTTCAAAGGTGAAACGAAGGTTGGACCACCAAAATGTGGTCAGAGTTAATAAAAGCATGTAAGATAGTTGATATGAAAGCTCCACAATCATAACATAAGTCTTTTTAATCTAATAACAAAGCACTTAATCCGCCAACAGTCACAAAGTTAATCACATCAGTGAAAGATAATGTCGGTGTTATCATAGTCGATTTTGCTTTCGAAGCACCACTAAACGCTATTAAAGGATACACAGGGTAAATACTATATATATATATGACTATGAAGTTAGCTTTATTTGTAGTTTAAACCATGAAAAAACTTCTTGAGGTATAAAACTTATTTTGTTTTTGTTATGCTAGCGAATAGCATCCGGCGAAATCTTGAATGTTTTCAACAAGATTTCAATCAAAAACGAAAAAGGCTCACTAAACACCATAAATAGTATTGTTGGCCAGACTTCTTCCCGAAGTGTACACCCAGAATAAGTAAGAAATCTATTTTTCACACCATACATATTTCTTTATTTTTCTCATTTTTTTGTATATAATAGCAAATAATATGAACTATTGGCTTGCTAACCATTTTGAAAAAACTGATTACACTTAATTAGGACGGCCAAAAGCGCTATTCCTAATTGGAAATACAGGAACCGGTGTGTGAATAGAGCTACACGACGTCTCTTTCAGAACATAAGCGTTTACTTCCGCTTTGAAAAACAAAAATTCTAATTCAGGTAAAACAAGTTTCGCATTATCGTTACCGAGCAATGCTACTCATTGTCGTGGGTATTGCTCTAGAGACAACTAGGATAATGAGGCTGACTACATCGTTCTCGGCAATATACCCTGGGATAAAATAGCAACAAAAGGATTTCCTGACAAAGAAGATCTAGGTACAAGTCAAACAGAGCTATTAGTAAGTGCACGAGCCACTGATGACCTACGACGAAATTTAGTTTTACATCGACGTAAATGCGTGCACATTCATAGATATACATATATTCTAATTTCTATATCGCACTATATTAGGCCAAAGAAAAATACAATAAGAATAAAACAATTAAGACAAATAAGCCGGCAATCATATTGCTCAATTCTGCTGCAACTAAAAGTTTCCTTGAATTATTAAAAAAGAAAGATGGTCCAGAGGCTGAATTTTGGCGAGGGCGTTCCTTCGTCTATATTGTGAGTAACTTATTATTCTAGAAAATGACACTTCATAATAAAAATTTAATTATTTTCTTATTCGAACATAATTATCATGGGCTGATGAATGGTTCTTCAAACCAAAAGTGATTGAAGGTCCACTAGACACAGTTACTTACACTTTGGATGGTGTTCCATTATTTGAAGGACATCGACGAGCTTGGCGTGTGACTAAAGAAGGAGCAACAGCAGAAGCAACAGTCACCAGCGAAGAAATAGAAGAAGAAGAAGAAAATCAAGACCCAGGTCGAGAAATCCCACATCGAATCCGATAGGAACTCATTGAACTTACAGTGACATCCAACGATGTTTCTTTTGAATTCATAGGAATCCGACACTGAGGATCCAACTTCGAATCCGGAACCTGGAATCCGACGATAGGTCTGTAGGGTCTGACAAAATCCGATAGGATCCTACTGGATGCGAGTCAAATCGGATGGGCTCCGATTGATGCCTACTGTGGGATTGCTCGACCTGGGGAGTTAATACCATCAGCTTTACCAACAACATTATCAAAATCAACCCAAACATCTAATCGTATTGGAGACCAATGTAATAAGCAGGTAGATGCGAGAAGCATAGTGTTGGAAGAATTTGAATATTATAGTCAAGCATCCAAATCAAGCAAAAATACATACAGACATTTATGCATTCTAATCAGCATGTTTTCGGCATAATCATCTATTATCAATCATATGAAAATAGTTTAGAAATAAATTTCGATTTCATAAAACTTTCTCTGATACAATTTTATATTGGCAAAGCAAGACTATTTTTGAGCCCACCACATAACATGCGGTGCAAAAGTCTTTGCATAAATGTGGGTGTGGGTGTGGGTGTCGGTAAATAGAAAAATAACTCTCTTAGGCACACCCACACACTAGTGCACGTGAATGATCGTTCATTGTCAAATAGAGCAAACTGATGTAACTGTATGCTATCCCAAAGCGAGGATGATTAGGAGGTAAACATTCGCGTGATATTCTCAGGGTATGTTCATGAATAGCCCATGCTTCTGACAATTTCCCCTGCTTTGTTTGTACCCAACCCATATAATAGTAACGATGCACTATGGGTTGATAATCAAGCAGACTTAACGGTTTTACCGAGTGATCAAGATATAATGTGATCAATTGGTTCACTAATTTGACCATAGCTGAGTGAAATTCATCCTCATTAATTTGTTCACTGTGAAGTACATTTCTAATTGTTGAAAACACAGTGATCAAGCCATCCTTGGCTTGCTCAATGACAGTATTCCCATCGAGTATTGCACTACTGCACATCTTATGTAAATGTGCTCTTGCTCGTTCCCAATCATATTTGTAGAATGCAAACAGTTCGGCTGGGTGATAATGTGTCGTTTGTCATATTCCCCCATATTTACAAGTAGTTTACTTAATCGCCGCGTAGGATTCATGTTGATTTGAAGTTCTGAATCAAGGGGCGAACTGAAATTTTTACTCATACGTTCTGTCAATTGACGAAGTTGTTCATCGTCAGCATTAGTCAATGTTAGTTGAACCTTCCAAAAAACGTGAGTTGTTTTCATTATCGAACGATTCTATTGCACCAATACGAAAGACGGTATGCATTGAGAAGAGTATTTCTTTTTCTTTTTCTTGAAAATAGCTGTGTTTATCAAGTGGTGCAAATGGTACCGATGATATTGACGGAACAATATTCATTTCGAATAGAACGGTCATATTTTTTGGTTTCTGTAGAGCTTTTTAAGAAAAACATAGTGAGACTTCTTCTGATGTACTTGTCGATAAAAAGTTATTGAATGAAATGAGACCACCTTGGTTTTGTTTCATTCGTTCTAACCCCGCAGGTAGCATCCGACTTAGATTAGAAAATGAAACAGAGAAATGTATTCTCTTATGCCCGCATGAAATGTGTCTATCCATTCGGCGTACTATGTTCGGGGAATTGATGGTGAAAGTAAAAAAATCAAGACTCTTTTTCAAGTTTCCATGATTTTTTGAGAGCATTTTTGCTTTTTACGGTCTTATTAAATTTGATCTCATTCAAAGTTTCGCATCGAAAATTTGTTCGTTTTCTGAAAGTATCGATTTTTGGATGAAATAATTCCAGAGAACGATAGAGCATATACTGTACGATCACTTACTTACCCTTGACCACGGTAGACAGTTAGTATCTGATCATTTTTCATTGTTTTATGAATATGCTCAAGTTGTCGATGAAGATCATAAATAAAAAAGTTCATTGTGATCAAAATCTCCATATCTTGTTTACATAAGGCTCGATTTAGCATAGAATAAAGAAAACATTCACGTATATACCACCAAATAGGAGATGGATTACTATACTTTTGCTTGAACTCTTCGATTACAGACAATGCTACCTTGTTTTCAGCATAATAAGTTCGACAAACATCGATAACACCTTATTTCGCTTGTTCACGAGTCTCATTATCATATTCTATACTTAGTATTATGTCTTCGAGTAACTGCGAGTACATGAACGAAGCGTCAAAATGATTAGACATCTTTAATGTTTGTGAACTAAGTGTCTGAATAGTAGTCAATTCGTGCTGACAATATTTTATATCATCCTTAAGTTGATGGCAAATATCCGGAATATTAGTAAACATGCTTTTTAATTTTACCATGTTTATCTTTGAATTTGTTAAAACATAAGACGTAAATCTAATCAACTATAATATCATGTTTAATAATAGGTACTAGTTGTCGCTCCAACGAATTTGAAACAATCAAAAATACTTTTTCAACATTCAATTTGTTGTTAATAAAATCGATACATGACACACACGTATCAAAATAATAAAACGTTCAACAAGATGAATATTTTGTTGCTCATGAGTCATGATTTTTTTCACATAAGTTGATCGCTGCTTGCTTTATCAGAAGATAACCATTTTAACCTATTTTTCATCAAATGATCGATAGAAAAGACAAAAAAACGATGTCTCATTTCATCAAGACGATCACACTCAGTGTAACGCACCATGTAATTTTTAAATGTAGAGCGTAATTACTAAAAATAATATTTTCAAGACAATCTATGAAATACTTAACAACCTTGATAAATTGTGACCAATAAAATATAACCAGCTATTGCTTTTCAGAGAAAAATAGAAATCACTTTATATTTCACTCTCTCGGTCTGAAGGAACGTCAAACGTCATAAAAATAAGTTTGCTGGTTTGCAAGTGTAGAGTCACGCGTACACCACGTAGGAGTTAAGTCAAAAGAATTGAAATTTTGCTTTCTCAATAATAAGAAAACAAACGAATAGAATTATGTTGACTGTCTAATTCGTTAGTCTGCTGTATATTTATTTAAGTGTGTGCAGCTTGAATCGGTTCTGTATAAACTTTGCGATATTATTCAAGATCTCACTTTGATCTTTTTTTAATTAACACCTTTTCATTTTACCACAATTCTGTTTATTAAACATCAACTTTTGTAAAAGAAAAAAAACGAGGAACAAATTATCAGTTTAATAGAAAAAGACTGAGAGTGTACGAAAATTTAGAAACTAGTACTGTTCGTTATTTTATGAATGGTAAAAATTTATTCGTCTAAATGTTTTGGGTGTGTAGGTAAACAGAAGCTCCACATTCTCAAGAAACAATCTAAGCTGAAATAACTAGAAAAATTGAGTTGAAAACTGCTTTTTAACATGATTTCTACGCTCAAAGGGGTAGCATTTTTTCTTCTGATTGCAGAACTTAAGTGAAGAAGCCAGAGAATTTATTTATACAGAAATTCAACG